GGGGGGGGGGGGGGGGGGGGGGGGGGGGGGGGGGGGGGGGGGGGGGGGGGGGTGTGGGGGGGGGGGGGGGGGGGGGGGGGGATAATGGAAAAGGGGGGGAGGTGCCGAGGGCGCCGGGGATGAAGTATAAGCATTATAGTCCGAGGGCGAGGGTTGTTTTGTTTGAGGGGGGTAAACCGAGAGAGGGAAAGGGAGAGGGGAAAGGGATGATGGAGGGGATAGAACTGGAGGGCAAGACGGTCGGTGTGATTCGGACGGTGAGGTGGGAAGTTGCTGCGGGATTGCGACATGGTAACCCAGGTGAGGTTGCCGGGGAAGTGAAAGATGCAAAGACAGAGCTAGTCGTGAGGAAAGGGGCTTTGCTAGCAGAGGACGGGACCACAGAAACGGGCACGTTGTTGGATGTGGACCTTGGCAAGGACATCAAGGGCGTGGCGCACGGGTTGTTTGCGGCGTTGCGGGAACTCGACCGGCTGGGGGCGGATGTGATTCTAGTCGAGGGGGTTGGCGATGGGGATGATATGGCTGCGGCGGTTATGAACCGGTTGCGGAAGGCCGCGTCGGAGATTAGGGTTTAGATCGACTGAACGTAGCATAGACACAGGGGATACAAACAGCACACACACACAACACACATGAAACGTTCTCACAGATCTAACATTTTATCATACCCCCCCCTTTTCCTTTTCTCCCTGGCTACCCCCTAGAAAATCACAACCCCTGCCGCAACCAATCCGTCAACTTCGCCTTACCCAGCTGCGCCAGGTTATTCACGCCCTGCTCGCTAAACGGATCAATCCGGCTCAGGTTCACATCCTGCGACGGCGCCTTACTGCACCGCTGCACAATAATCGTCGGATCCGTCTCCAACACCACGCCATCATCGCAAATCTCGTCCACCGCCAGCGAGACCAAATCATAGTTCTCGACCACCGTGCGCTTGTCCACCGACTGCTTGAACAGCAGGTGCAGGCTGTCGCGCAGGGCCAGCAGCACGTTGTACAGCAGGATCTCGTTTTCGTCGACGCTGCCAACGATGTACAGGGCTACGTCGGACTCCATCTTGTAGAGGACGATGCGGTTGTCGTAGAGGAGGATGTCGCCGGTTTGTTTGGCGGTTTTGGCGAGGAGGCCTTTTTCGAAGCGGGTTTGCGCGGTCTTGTCGGGGTAGGGGCTCGACGAGGCGGAGGGGGCTGGACGGGTCAGTATCTAATGTCATGACGCTGTGTCTTGTAAACGGAAACGGAACTCTCAAGATCTCGTACCGGAGGGGTTCGATGCGGTCTGGTGCGGCGGGGTGTAGTATTTTGTGAATATCCGCGAGCCGTCCTCGCTCGATAGGATTACTGTCGTTGTCAGCGCGAGCTCTATGGCCACATGCCGTTCATGATCCAGCCATAAGATCATTCCTTGTCAGATTGATCTAGACAAGGACCAGAAACTCGAGAACAGGACGTACAGATAGCATTGACGCTATACAGCGACATTCCTGGCGACATCTTGGCGGCGTTGTGTCGCCCTCAGAACCCTCGTCTCCTCGGTTGTTTCTCTTGTTGTCGCAATGGGAGCGGGCTCAATGCTAGCCAATCTTGGTGGCCTCGTGCGCAATATCGTCGTCGCTTGTAGTTTCGTAGTCGCTTGCTTGCTTGAGTCGCTCTTCGCAGTGCTTGCTGCAGCGCCTGTTGTGGGGTTGTGATGTGGCTTGACCAAGAACTGCCCCACATTTTCATCCTGTCCCCTGCGGTACGTACCCTACAGGGGTTTAAATGGGATGCACGCGAAACCCCCCTGTCGACGCGTTAAGTGGTCGACAGTAACGCGTAGTTTCGCGTATCGGGTGTCCGTTTTTTGTCTGCAGCTGTTGCATTCAACACCCCTCTCGGCTGCCCAACTCGGCGTCCCACCTTTGCGTATTGTTCGTCCCCTGTTTCTCACCACAACACCACCGTCGTCATTTCACCGCATCCCAGTTTCCCCGCGCGGTGATTCCCCTGGTTGTTGTCCCTCAACCTTTTATAATCGGTCAACGGTCGGAGAGACAAAATCACCATGTCATCCCCATCCAAACGATCAACGCGCAGTTCGGCCACACCAGGCCGAGCCACGCGCAGTTCGCAGCAGCAACAGAGCAGCCCCGCAGCCGGCCCCTCCAACCCGAATCCCAATGCCGCCGCCGCCGCGAGAACCCCCCGCCAGACGAGGGCATCGCAGCTGGCTTCGAGCCCGCTGTTCTATCAGTCGTCCCCGGCCAATCCAGCCGCGCCCTCGTCCCCGCTACGCCAGATGAGCAACAGCCAGAGTACTGCTGCGAATGCTCCCAGCTCGCCGTTGCGCCAGCAGACTGAGACGCAGAGTGCTGGGGAACGGACGCCGCGCGCGAGTGCTCGCCTTATCGGCGGTGAGTGCTTCCCCCCCTCCCCCCTTTTTTTTCCGGTTTTTCCTTTCAACGAGTACCGAGTACTCAATGCCTTATGAGATACTAATAGAGACATAGACTCCTCTCCGATCCGCTACGACCCCAGCTCCAGCCCCGGCCACCAGCTCACCCAGCAGTCCGATCTCCGCAGCGACAGCAGCGCCCTGTTTGTGGGTTCACAGCGATCCACCACCAGGTCCCACCGCGGTGATATCAACCCAGATGTCGTCCGGACGCCCCAGGTCCCGCGTCGGATTCTCCTCGACGACACCGGCCGGGTAATTCGGGACGGCTCGACGCTTGGATCGGATGCCGCCTCGTTTGCAAACAACAACCCCCACACCTCGGAAGCCGATGCGCTCGGCGGCCCGAGCCAGAGTCTCGTGTGGGGTACGACTGTCTCGCTGGAAGACTCGTTCGCGTCGTTCCGGGACTTCCTCAAGAACTTCACACGGAAATACCGGATGTGGGCCGATGGCGCGACCGAGGCCGACACGAACGGGGAGCCCGAGGCCGAGGCGAAGCCATACTGGGAGGCCATGGAGAACATGCTGCTGCTCGGCACCAACAAGCTGTACCTCGACCTACGCGACCTCAAGGCGTACCCGCGCACCGTTAAGCTGTGGCATCAGGCCCAGGCATACCCGACCGAAATCATCCCCGTCATGGATCAGTGTGTCCACGACTGCATGATCGAGCTTGCACAGGCCGAGATGGCGAGCCAAAGGGCCGCCTCCCACAACACCGCGGGGACCGGTGCACCACCGCAGGCCTCGCAGAGCTCCGAGATCGCCTTCCCCAGCTCGGACCGGCCCGAGGAACCGTCAACCCCCCGGCCCTCGCAGCGCGAGCAGCTCACGCTCGAGGACCAGGTCATCAAGCAGCAGTACCTGGTCCGGCCCTGGGGCACCGACAAGTCCATCAACCTGCGCGACCTCAACCCCTCCGACATGGACAAGCTCATCTCCATCAAGGGCCTCGTCATCCGCGCGACGCCCGTGATCCCAGACATGAAGTCGGCCTTCTTCAAGTGCGGCACCTGCGGCCACTCCGTCTCGGTCGAACTAGACCGCGGCAAGATCCGCGAGCCCACCGAATGCCCCCGCGCCCGCTGCAAGCAAAAGAACTCGATGCAAATCATCCACAACCGCTGCCTGTTCGAGGACAAGCAGGTCATCAAACTCCAAGAAACCCCCGACGCCGTGCCCGCCGGCCAGACCCCGCACTCAGTGTCGGTGTGCGTCTACAACGAGCTGGTCGACTTCTGCAAGGCCGGTGACCGCGTCGAGCTCACGGGTATCTACAAGGTCACTCCCGTGCGTGTGAACCCGCGGATGCGGACCGTCAAGAGCGTGCACAAGACCTACGTCGATGTCGTCCACGTGCAAAAGGTCGACAAGAAGCGCATGGGCATCGACCCGTCCACTTTGGACCTGGCCGAGGAAGAAGAAGCCCACGTCAGCGGCCAGAGCCTAGACGAAGTCAAGAAAGTGTCCGCCGAGGAAGAGGAGAAGATCCGCGCCACGGCCGCGCGACCAGACATCTACGAACTCCTCGCCCGCTCTCTCGCACCGTCCCTACACGAAATGGACGACGTCAAAAAGGGCATCCTCCTCCAGCTCTTCGGCGGCACCAACAAAACCTTCGAAAAGGGCGCCAGCCCCCGCTACCGCGGCGACATCAACGTTCTCCTCTGCGGCGACCCGTCGACGGCCAAATCCCAAATGCTCTCCTACATCCACCGCATCGCGCCTCGCGGCGTCTACACCAGCGGCAAGGGGTCTTCCGCGGTCGGTCTCACAGCCTATGTCACGCGCGACCCGGAAACCCGGCAACTCGTGCTCGAATCCGGCGCCCTTGTCTTGTCGGACGGCGGCGTCTGCTGCATCGACGAGTTCGACAAGATGAACGACTCCACGCGGTCGGTGCTGCACGAGGTTATGGAACAGCAGACCGTGTCGGTCGCTAAAGCGGGTATCATCACCACGCTCAACGCGCGCACGAGTATCTTGGCTTCGGCCAACCCTATTGGGAGCCGGTATAATCCGGACTTGTCCGTGCCGCAGAACATTGATTTACCGCCGACGCTGCTGTCGCGGTTTGATCTGGTGTATCTGATCTTGGACCGGGTGGATGAGAAGACGGATCAGCGTCTGGCGCGCCATTTGCTGTCGATGTATCTTGAGGATAAACCTGAGTCTGCCCAGAGCAACAATGACATTCTCGTAAGCCCCCCCCCCACTGTCTCTCCCTCTCTCTCCCTCTCTCTCCCTCTCTCTCCCTCTCTCTCCCTCTCTCTCCCTCTCTCT